AATACAGCATCCCTGCCACCCTCCCCCCAAATACAGCATCCTTACCTCCCCCTGAAATACAGCATCCCTGCCACCCCCCAAATACAGCAATTATAGTGACTGGGAGCTGAGGTAGGGTGACTGGGTGTGTGTTATAGTGACTGGGAGCTGGGGTGGGGGATACGGTGTGTGTGTTATAGTGACTGGGAGCTGAGGTGGGTGATAGGGTGTGTGTGTTATAGAGACTGGGAGCTGAGGTAGGGTGATGGTGTGTGTGTTATAGTGACTGGGAGCTGAGGTGGGGGATACGGTGTGTGTTATAGTGACTGGGAGCTGAGGTGGGTGATAGGGTGTGTGTGTTATAGTGACTTGGAGCTGAGGTGGGTGATAGGGTGTGTGTGTTATAGTGCCTGGGAGCTGCGGTGGGTGACAGGGTGTGTGTGTTATAGTGACTAGGAGCTGAGGTGGGTGACAGGGTGTGTGTGTTATAGTGACTGGGAGCTGAGGTGGGTGACAGGGTGTGTGTTATAGTGACTGGGAGCTGAGGTGGGTGGCAGGGTGTGTGTTATATTGACTGGGAGCTGAGGTGGGTGACGGTGTGTGTGTTAAAGTGATTGGGAGCTGAGGTGGGTGACATGTGTGTGTTATAGTGACTGGGAGCTGAGGTGGGTGACAAGGTGTATGTTATAGTGACTGGGAGCTGAGGTGGGTGACAGGGTGTGTGTGTTATAGTGACTGGGAGTTGAGGTGCATGACAGAGCTTGTGTGTTATAGTGACTGGGAGCTGAGGTGGGTGACAGGGTGTGTGTTATAGTGACTGGGAGCTGAGATGGGTGACTGGGTGTGTGTGTTATAGTGACTGGGAGCTGAGGTGGGTGACTGGGCGTGTGTGTTATAGTGACTGGGAGCTGAGGTGGGTTACAGGGTGTGTGTGTTATAGTGACTGGGAGCTGAGGTGGGTGACTGGGCGTGTGTTATAGTGACTGGCAGCTGAGGTAGGGTGACAGGGTGTGTGTGTTATAGTGACTGGGAGCTGAGGTGGGTGACAGGGGTAGTGTGTGTGTTATAGTGACTGGAGCCGAGGTAGGGTGACGTGTGTGTGTTATAGTGACTGGGAGTTGAGGGGTGACAGGTGTGTGTTATAGTACCTGAGCTGAGGTGGGGGACGGTGTGTGTGTTATAGTGACTGGGAGCTGAGGTGGGTAAGATAGGGTGTGTGTGTGTTATAGAGACTGGGAGCTGAGGTGGGTGATGGTGTGTGTGTGTGTTATAGTGACTGGGAGCTGAGGTGGGGGATAATGGTGTGTGTTATAGTGACTGGGAGCTGAGGTGGGTGATAGGTGTGTGTGTGTTATAGTGACTGGGAGCTGAGGTGGTTGATAGGGTGTGTGTGTGTGTTATAGTGACTGGGAGCTGCGGTGGGTGACAGGGGTGTGCAAGAGAAAGTGACTAGGAGCTGAGGTGGTGACAGGGTGTGTGTGTTATAGTGACTGGGAGCTGAGGTGGGTGACAGGGTGTGTGTTATAGTGACTGGGAGCTGAGGTGGGTGGCAGGGTGTGTGTTATATTGACTGGGAGCTGAGGTGGGTGACGGTGTGTGTGTTAAAGTGATTGGGAGCTGAGGTGGGTGACATGTGTGTGTTATAGTGACTGGGAGCTGAGGTGGGTGACAAGGTGTATGTTATAGTGACTGGGAGCTGAGGTGGGTGACAGGGTGTGTGTGTTATAGTGACTGGGAGCTGAGGTGGGTGACGGTGTGTGTGTTAAAGTGATTGGGAGCTGAGGTGGGTGACATGTGTGTGTTATAGTGACTGGGAGCTGAGGTGGGTGACAAGGTGTATGTTATACAGGGAGTGCAGAATTATTAGGCAAATTAGTATTTTGACCACATCATCCTCTTTATGCATGTTGTCTTACTCCAAGCTGTATAGGCTCGAAAGCCTACTACCAATTAAGCATATTAGGTGATGTGCATCTCTGTAATGAGAAGGGGTGTGGTCTAATGACATCAACACCCTATATCAGGTGTGCATAATTATTAGGCAACTTCCTTCCTTTGGCAAAATGGGTCAAAAGAAGACTCTGACAGGCTCAGAAAAGCTGTAAAATAGTGAGATATTCTGCAGAGGGATGCAGCACTTTAAAATTGCAAAGCTTCTGAAGCGCGATCATCAACAATCAAGCTGTGCTTTATCTGTAAATAGTCAACAGGGTCGCAAGAAGCGCAGGAAAACCAAGGCACAAAATAACTGCCCATGAACTTATCAAGGCAGTAGCTGCCATGATGCCACTCTTTGCCACCAGTTTGGCCATATTTCAGACCGCAACACTGGAGTGCCCAAAGCACAGTGTGCAATACTCAGAGACATGGCCAACGTAAGAAAGGCTGAAAGACGACCACCACTGAACAAGACACACAAGCTGAAACGTCAAGACTGGGCCAAGAAATATCTCAAGACTGATTTTTCTAAGGTTTTATGGACTGATGAAAAGAGAGTGAGTCTTGATGGGCCAGATGGATGGGCCCGTGGCTGGATTGGTAAAGGGCAGAGAGCTCCAGTCCGACTCAGACGCCAGCAAGGTGGAGGTGGAGTACTGGTTTGGGCTGGTATCATCAAAGATGAGTTTGTGGGGCCTTTTCGGGTTGAGGATGGAGTCAAGCTCAACTCCCAGTCCTACTGCCAGTTCCTGGAAGACACCTTCTTCAAGCAGTGGTACAGGAAGAAGTCT